AGGGGCGAGGGGCAAAGGGAGAGGGGAGGGGGGAGCAGGGGCGCACGTGGGACCAGAGCCCGAGAGGAGGGGGACCGGGATTTCCTCTAGCCCCCGCCTGCGGCCACTCGCTCCCTCTTCCTGCCCTCAGCCCAGGAGCCCCTTCCCTGTGGGTCCCTTGAGACCCTCCTGTCTTTCTGGGGTCTCGGGTACGGGAGCCTGGGCCTCTATTTCCCTCTCTTTCCCCACCTGCCGTGAGGACCCATCCTGCAGCCACAGCCATCCCAGAACGGAGCCTCTGCTGGGGGCCCAGTATGGGCCCGGGGTCTGTCCCAAGCCCAGCGTCCCCTCCTCGAGTCTCCTGGTCCTCTCGGGTTTCCTGGGCTCCCTCCCCTCTCCAGGGCAGCCCCGGAGGCCACATTCCAGCTGAAATTAAATCGCGTTCCTCCTTCCCTGCCTGGGTGGCTTTGCTACCAGCAGCTGTGACACCACAGGGTCAAGTGGCAGCAGCTGGTTCCCCGAGGAGGGGCTGAGAAGGGGGCCCTGCGGGGAGCCGGGGGACCAGGCCCTCTGGAAGCGATGAATGAGCTCTGCGTCTGCCCTCCGGAGGCTGTGGAGGGGGGCAGACCCTGGGGACGGAGGGGTACGGCTGACGCCCCAGGGGTCAGGGCTGTACAGAGCCTCAGGAGAGGAGCTGCTCATGCCCACGGGAAAACCGGGGCTCACAGCGCCACGTTCCAAGCGGACCCTGGAAGGACACTCTCTCCTCGCCCCTGAACCGAGCTCCCACAGTAGCGTGGAGGCCTGGGGGGGCCCTTAAGAGGCCACACTTGGGCTCCTTGGCGGGAGCCCAAGCCTCAGGCTCGGATTCCACTTCCTCTGAGACCCCAGGGGCCTCGAAGGCAGCGGGGACCAGCTGGGCTGAATGGGGAGCCTGGCCCTGACCTTCCTATCCACCCTCGGCCCTCACGGCCTTATAAGGAAGTGCCCCAAACAAGTGAGGAAGCCACCAAGGCCCCCCACCCTGCCCCGCCCGCTCAGAGGCTATATTTACCCCAGGAGGCCCCAGAATAACCGCCCACTTGTCCTCCTGCTTGGGGGGGAGGGTGCTGCCTCCTCATTCCCCACTCTGGGGGGGGGGCTCCGCCCTCCCCAATGCTTCCTGTTGTCACACTTGCCCCTTGTCCGTCCTCATCACATGTACTGAGCGCCCGCCAGCGGGCACTGGGCTGGACACACGGGCCTTGCTTTTCAGAGACGTCTAATCACAGGGTCTTCACGCCTGCCACCCTCTGGCCTCTCCTTCCCCATCCCCTGCCCAAGTATCTCCTCTCTGCCGAGAGTTCCCCGGGGGCTCCGTCTGGGTGACCTCTAAGCCAACGACCCTCCAGTTCCTGTCTCCATCCTGGTCCTCAGCGCCCCTCCCCACCCCCGCAGCCCCTCTTGGTACTGACAACTTCCTGCCGACTCTCCAGCTCAGAGGGGTCCGCCGGCTCCCAGCTCCCCGCATCCCCCACCTCCCACAGCCATCACGAGTCCTGCACTCTGCTGCCCCTCCGTGCCTCTGGGACCCCGCCCGGAAGCCTGTGCTCAGCTGGAAAGCCCTCCCCCTCCCCTGCGTGGGGACCCCCCGCCCCCAGGGCCTGTGCAGCGCACGGCACGTGCTGGATGCTAAGTGACCACTCGTGACCATGGCGGTAACTCCCGTCATCGCCACCAGGAGTGTCCCCGCCAAGGTCCAGCCTGTATTTCTCTTGCCGTGTGGACAGGTGACCATTTCCAGAGGGGACACAGCCCCCACTACACACCCCCTAGGAAAGTCCTCACTTACATCCAGCTTACACCTCCCCGCGGGGGATCTTGGCAGAACTAGCTGGTCTCCCGTCATCGCCACCAGGAGTGTCCCCGCCAAGGTCCAGCCTGTATTTCTCTTGCCGTGTGGACAGGTGACCATTTCCAGAGGGGACACAGCCCCCACTACACACCCCCTAGGAAAGTCCTCACTTCCATCCAGCTTACACCTCCCCGCGGGGGATCGTTGGCAGAACTAGCTGGTTTGGGGAACTCTGTAGGGACCAGGGATGCTGGAGTGTGGGGCGGGGTGGGGGCCGGGGACAGGAAAGGACTGCCTGGCTCGGCCTCTGTCCTGGTTCACGCCACCACGCTGGCCTGGCCCAGCCCAGCTGCCTGCCGAGGCCACAAGGGGCCTCGCTGGCAGCGGGTACGGGGAGGAGAGTGGAGGCTCAGGCTGCCAGAAGGGTGGGGAGTCCGAGTCCTGGACCCCGAGGGCAGGAGTGTGCATGAACTGGGGGCCTGACAGCCCCGGATGGGGAAGGAGAGAGGTGTGGCAGAGGCAGACAGCGAGTCTGTCAGGGCCTCCTGTCCCCTGCTCCCGGGCCATCTTCCGATGGCCCCCGCCCTCCGGCCCGGGCCTGGGCCGGGGAAGAATCTGCTCTCACACTGGGGTCGTCACCAAAGGAGGGACATTGTCAGCAGCCCCCAGTCCTCCCCCAGCCTGAGATACTGAGGTGTCGCCAAATCTCGCTTCCCTGGTGAGCCGAACTGGGGGTGGCTTCTGTTTGCGTACCCCAACTCCAAGGCCTTCAGGCCCCGCCTAACCCCGGAGCCCTGGTGCCTGCCTGCTCTGCACAGGGACCCAGGACACTTGGGGGGCGGGGATGCAGTGGCTGGGCGCCCCTCCCCCATCGGACCCGTTATCCACACAGCTGAGGCTGCAGGCCTCAGCTCCCCCAGCCTCCCTCTGCTCTCCCCGCCCTGGGAGACCCCCAAGTCACGCAGCCCGGCGCCCTTCCTCAGGTGGCTGGGGCTGAGATTCAGAGCGTGGACGCTGCCCTGAGGCCACACAGCCAGTGCGGGCAGAATGGTGCCCCCTTCCTGACCGCACTGACCTCGCCCACGGGAGCAGGCATCGTGGGCCAGACAACTGTTTGGGTTTAGGGGCACAGGGGCTTATTATGCTGGCGGCACTGAGGGCCGGGGGAGGGGGGAAGAGACAGGCAACGGTGGGGGGGGCACAAGCCCTACGCCCTGTAATCAGCCCGTGGCCGAGATGATGATGGCCTGGATGCTCAGGCGCCGAGGTCACCGGGCTTGGCACCCTGGCACTGTTGCACCTTCCTGTCTGACTCGCCCCCCGCCCCGAGGAGGCCTCCCGGGGCCCCTTGCCTCAGGAAGCTGCCTCTCCTGCTTCCCCAGTCTCCTCAGCTCCTGTGCCCACCCCAAGGACCCCCAAATTGCGGAAGGAAAAATCCAGACTTTGTAGGTGGAGCCATCACTTTATTCAGGCAAGGATGAGCCAAACAGGGCCACACAGGGCAGGGAGATGGGGAGCCGGGACAGGCGAGCACGCCTCACCAGCCAGACATGCCCCGTGGGTGCAGCGAGGAGGTGCAGAGCCGGTGACCCCCACAGTCCCTCCCGTTGAAGGAGCCACTGGGCCCTAGGCCTTCTCCAGCGAAGGGACAGGCAGGACGGGGGAGCAAGGGAAAGGAGCCTAGTCCTACAGGGGCGCAGCTGGCTTGAAGCTCACGGGACATGCAGGTGGGGGGGCGCCCTTTGCAGGGTCCGAGGGGCTGCTTTTACTCCTGGAGTCTCCGTGCTTGGAAGGGGTCCCTTTGCTGTACCCCATTTTCCCTTGGCCAGTCCGGCGTCTCGGACAGAAACCACAGGTCAGGAGCTCACGAATGAAGGTGCTGGCCCTGAGCAGGGAGGGGCTGGGCCCTGTCCCCAGCCAAGCCGGCATCCGGGGAGCAGCACCGTCCCTAGTCCTCCCCCGAGGACCAAGAATCTCTGTCCCCTTCCTGCTGTGTGAACTGCAGGAACTGGCTGGGGCCCAGGTGAAGAGACGCCCCCGCCCAAGGGGGCTTCAGGGCACCCCCCGTGCCCTCCTCCTCCAGAGGGCTCCCTCGGCCCCCCTCAAGGGCCCCCACTTTCTCCTGCCCCGCCCCATCAGACTGTCCCAGCCAGGTGACCAACCCCCCGTTCACATGCTCCAACTCCTCCTGCAAGCCGGGGCCCTGGCCATTGACACCAGGGGTGTCCTCCGTCCCACCGAGGGTCCCCAGGGGGCCGGGGACTTGATCCTCCCTCTCCAAGGGGGCAGCGTCAGACTCGTCCTCTGAGCCAGAGGGCTCAGTGCTGTCCTGGGAGCCGGTCTCCTGGGCAGTCACCGGGGGACTGGCCGCTGCATCCCGCAATGGGGCGGTGTCCCAGGGGATGCTGACGGGCTCGGGCCCTGGTGGGCTCTCTCTCTGAGGGCCGCTCAAGGCCAGGAGGCTGCTGGCGGAGGGCCCTGGCCCCCACTGCCCAGCCCCTGGCGCCCTCCCCTCCGCCCCCTCGTCCTCGTCCTCCCCACTCTCCTCCTCGTCTGCAAACCCGTCAGACTCCCTGTCCTGACCCCAGGCTGCAGGCTCCAGTCGCAGCTGGGACACATGGCCCAGAGGGTCCGTCACCTCCCTGGGGACCCCAGGGAGGAGAGAAGCCTCGGTCCCCAGGTCCTCAGAGTCCAGGCCACATTTGCCCTCCTCCGGGTGGGCCCCACGGTCCCCAGGGGCCAGGACTGTGGGACCACAGCCTTCCTCTCCGGCCTCCCTCTGAGCTACATCAAGGTCCCACTCGGGCGAGGCAGGGGGCCTGGGGTAGAGGCCCAGGGCGGTGGAGTCAGGAAGGGTGTCCCCCAGCTCGTCGGCCTCACTCTCATCCCCGCTCTCCTCCCCCTCGTCCTGGAGGCCCTCGGGGAACCCCCCGGAACCCCACTCCTCCTCCGCCAGGGGCTTGGGCTCAAAGCCGACTTCAGGGGCTGGGCTGGGGGCCCCCAGCACCGGTTCTGCACCCTCCTCAGCTTCCTCTGAGCCCTGAGGCCCGGGCTGAGGGACGTCACTTCCATCTTGGCACAAGGTCTCAGCAGGGAACACGGCCTCTGCTGCCCAGGGGGCCCCAGGCTTCGCCCCCGCCCCGGCTGCGGGGGGCTCCGGGGGCTCCCTGCTCCTCCCTGGCTCCAGAGCGGCTGTCCCCTCTGGGTCCTCTGCAGGCCCTTCCAAGCCCGGCGCCCCCTTTGCCTCCTCACCCCTCTCCCCTGGGCGGCCTGGGTCCTCCAGTCCCACCGCCTCCTGCTCCAGCCTCTGCCCGGCTCCTGCGGCAGCCTCGGCCGCGGCCGGCTCCAGCCCCGAGCTGACCTCATCCTCGCTGACCTCATCTTCGCCACCCTCAGCTTCCAACACCAGCTCTGTCCCCTCTGACGGTCCTCGGGGAGATCGGAAGCCTGAAGCCACCACGTGCTCTGGCTGCCCTTCAGGGTCCTGGGGGCCTTCAGTGCCCTCCTCCCCACGGGCTCCCTCAGCCGGGACCCTCTGCTCTTTGGGCTTGGGGTGCCCTTCGCCGGCCCCCCAGGCCCCCGCTGTGGCAGCCAGACACAGCCCTCCCTCCCCCCCAGACGGCTCCTTCCCAGGGAAGCCACCCCCCTCCTTCAGGTCCGGCTCTGCCCCAAGCCCCTTGTCCACTCCGGCCCTCCCAGGAGG